CTCTGCAATCCATACATTAACCATCCTTTTTATCTCGCTGTTTGAACTGTGCTCTGCAGCTCTGTTTCAGTTTTACTATTCATTCATCAGCATGAAGTTAAACAATTACTAAACGACTTGGGTAGCTGGCAAGCAGCGAGGAAGCAAGATCCATTTCTGCCCAGAGGGAAGAAAGATTTTATACAATAGCATGGCCTTTGTTTTGCATCTTGTGGGCGATGCTATTGATGTGAAGGTTATATCACGTTATGTGCCAAACCGCTTGAGCTAGTTTCAGATTGCAGTTCCCCTTGGGGTATTTCCACTTGATATATAAGAAGATAACGAGATCTGCTCTCTGTCCACTCCTAGCCTGGACAGTGCTTAGTCAGCTCCCCCACTCTTGGCAAGACAAAGCGAGAAAGTGGAGCTGCACTACCCCAGTTATTACCGCTTTATCAATGATCATTCCTCTAAATGCTTTGGAGCACATCACAAAGCAATGAGCAAATTGCGTGTTCTCCTGTGGTGAACAGAAAGCAGTTATGTGACCATAAAATACAATACCCCATATGTGTCAACTTTTTCTGCTTGTGTCTGCAGAACAGTAATACTTTGTTTCAGCTTTAATTTTTGACCACAAAACTGTTTATTTTCTTGCTGCGAAAAAATAGATTTCGAGTGCACAGCAGAGATGCAATTCTGCTTCCCATGCATTGGGAACATCAAGATTTGGAGAGCTGATCTGTGACACTTTCTATTATTTTGGTTTTTTTTTACAATACATCAGTTAGTATTCCTCACTACCAGGATATACAATATAGGTAATGGCAACATTTTCTTTGTTTTGTAGACCTTGATATATTTTTTTTTCCCCTGAACCTTTTTTTCATATTGTAATTGCTGTGTTGCTTTGTTCTTTCACTGTGGTATGGTGAAATATTGAAGAGATTTTTGCAGTTTAATGGAATAACTGCCACTGGCTTGCTTGGAGTGAACTCCAGAAATGAAGCATGAAGAGAAGCCACTCAGCTAAGGGCACTCTACGGCTCCAAAGAGCTGCATTGCAGGATATGGGATGTGTTTTCCAGCCTGGGGACGCTGTCCAGACCATGTACTTGCAAGGAGATGGGAATGGGGTTGAGATTTTTGCTGATTTAACCCTCTCAAGCTGTTTAAAAATAACATTTCCTGTACTTAAAACATATCTCTGCTAATCCAGTGTCCCTTGGTCTTTTATCACATTTTTTCTTTTTTTGGGTTAATGAGCTCTGGAGGCATGTAGCTGCTGTAGCCAAAAGCTTTGGGCTTAAGGGTCTGGACCTTGGGGCCCCTCTGTCCAGGAAAGATGCCAGATATGGGACTTTGCCTTGAAGGGTGTACAGAGATGGTTACAGGATCAATAACCAGAAGAGGTTTCTCCAGCACAAGGGAATGGGCCAAGGTTAAGCAGTGCTGGAAACAGCCAGCACATTCAGTCAGGGCCTGCTGGCAGTCTTAATGTCAAACAAACATCATGAGCACCAGGGCAGAGAGTCTGTAAAGGTCTTATTCTAGTGCCCCGAGTCTGGAAACTTAATAGGTCATTTGGAGACTACAAAGGGAAATGCCTTAAAACTTGAAGCCGTTACTAAAGGGCTGAACTAAAAACCTCCCAAAAGAGCCTGAGAGCACTGACAAATCCATCATCTGAATACTGTGGGCTGGGCTTCTTAATGGTCAAAAGCAAAACCTCCTCTTTCATTTGAAAAATATGCATGCAAGTACTCATCTCAGAACAGGAGGCTCAGGTTCAGCTCCTATTTCTGCTCATTACAGGCTTTATTTTTTTGCTCCATCCTGCTGGAACTGCTTAATTTGTCTGAACAGTGAAGCATTCACCGGATTAGAGCGCCTGCCAGCATAATCTGGTAGTCAGGACAACAGCAGGGAGATGGAAACCCCCATGCAGGTCTCCAAACCAAGTACAACAAGGCCTCTTGCATTTCAGAGAAGCCTCGTAGCTCTTTCTGAGCCCAAAAACCATCCCAACCAAGTGCTTCCCACCATCCCATTATTGAACCTGGCACATTTCCATCAATCAGCCTCACGCAAAGAAACTCCAGTGTAGGGGGACATTTCTCAGTGGCTCTAATCAAAATCAGCAGAAAGGGAATGGTGATTTCATCCCATTACAAGTGTGAATTCAAAGGCACCTTTCACTTTGAGTGTCTGTAGATGTGGCCAACATTTGTTAGCAGTTAGACTGTGTTGCTTATCAGTAAATACAACAAAATAGATTCATTCTGTTTTCTTGCCTCACCTAATACAAATCAATTGTTTATTTTGATTTGAGAAAAGAAACAGTAGAGAAAAGTTCACTAAAAAGTTCGCTGACATTTTTTGCAGAAATATTTTCCACTGGAGGTCAGCTACATATTTCCAGCAGTAATTCAATAACCCAAGTCCATCATATTGAAAATCCCTCCGGACTCTTAACAAACTAGGCAGACATTCATAGGTCATTTTAGAAACACTTTGAAGACGACTCCAGAATCCACTCTGCACTGTAGATCCTTGTTGGACAAATTGTCCCTGAATCTATTTATATTTGTTTTGTATTGTTATGAGAAAGCATTGGCTTATCCAGTTAGAAGGGTCTAGCACTGGTCACACAACTGCGCTGAAGTCTGGCAATACTGATAGAGAAAATGAAGGAATAGATAGGAAGACATCGAGGAAAGATTTCTTTACTCAATTTTTTTAGCAGAACTGTGCAGTTTAAAATTGCTCAGAAAGTGAATGAGATACTAACAGTGCTTAACTGAGCCCCACTGCTTGTCCTCCCTGAAATTATGATCTATTCATTTTTTTCAGTGTTTTTTGACTCAACATGCATACTTTTGTGGTGGATTTCCTTCTTTTTTATTAAAAACAATATAAAGGAAACTCAGGCTTTCTCAAAAACCTGATGTACTCAAACCTAAAACAAAGCCTCGCTCAAGGCTGGATTTGCCAACCTAGAGATTACCTGGGCAACAGCTAGGCAGAAACTGGAGTCGACCTGTGCTTTCCACCAAGCAGCCCTATGCCATGGAATGCTTCTTGCTGTGTCGACCAGGCAGAGCATCCCAGGTCACTGAGCCACAAAGGGCAGCACAAAGTCCAGCTCCAGCCTTGTACTCTGTGACATGGAAAGAGCATGAGTGAGGAAAACCCTGATCTAACCCATTTTGTTTTTCAATCAGAGGACTCATGCAGGAGTCAAGCTCCTGCCAAGGCCAAAAAGGAGAGGAGCAGTTTTCCTCCTCGCTCATACCTGCACCATGAGTAAGAGTCACAGTTAATATTCTTTGTCTGCTCCTGGAGCAGCACACACATCTAATATATTGTTTCCTAGACCAGAGGAGAACCTATAAAATGAGCATTTCCTCTAAAAACAGCTCTTTGCGTGGCTCCAGATAATACGCAGCTGATGTGAGATGGTCTGGCTGCAGAGCTTGGCTGGAATAACACTAACAAACCCAGAGCCCAGGCATCCTCCTGCTGCCCCAGGATAGCTGTCAGCAGCCAGAGGAAAATCTGACACCTTCAGCTGCTGCCTGACGAGTGTGTGGTGGTCTGTCTGTCCATCCGCCCATCTGTCCATCCATCCACACACCCATCAGTCCCTGCCCGGTGAGGAGATCCATGCAGGGTGCATCGCGGTATCTCTGCTCAGCAGGCAAGGACAAATTGGGTTTCTCCAGAGGAAAAACTGGAAGTGTTTGTGTCCCTGGACACTGTCTGGAAGCGCGTGGGTGTTTCTGCAGGCTCTGGGAGCCCGGCCCCACAAAATACTTAGGCACATGTGTAACTAGAAGTGACGTCCAACAGAGTGCTGCAGACACAGGCACTTCCAGTTCCAGCAGGATCCAAGCAGTTTCCAGGATCCCAACTTTCCAAGAAGTTTTAACTTGTTGGTTGTTTTTTGTTGTTTGTTTGGTTTTTTTTTGTCCAAGACTCCTTTCTGCCTGCCCATGCAGCAGCTGGATTGGACTCCCTGTGGGGCATGGCAGGTCTTACCCTTAATGAAGAAATACATCCACAAAACAAGGTACAAGAATTTGCACTGCTGGACACTGCGCAGTTATTAATGCAAAAAACAGAATTAATTCTGGTACAAAAAGTTGGGAGGAAAGCAACAACAATGATGGGTACCATCTCATACCACAGCTGTTTTACAGCAATTCCACTTTACATTCCCTGGCCAGCAGAGCTCCTGAGTAATGACATAGCCAGATCACACACAAGCAGAAAAGCCTCAAATGTGAATAAATATCAGTTTTCCAGTTCTGAAAGGAATTTAATCATGCAAACCTTCTACCATATTCGAGAGAGCCAAAAAGCAGTGATAGCCCTGAACTCATCTTTGTGGTGCTTTCTCCTGCACCAAAGGAACCTGAGCTGTTGACCTGAGGGAAACCTGACTGTGGGGCACAGCTCCTGAAGACCTGGGGGGAAAACCCCTTACCAAGATCTGAGGGGAAACTTCTTTATAGAGGAGAAATCAATTACAATCCTGATACAAGAAATATTGTTTCACCTAACAGTATCCAGCATTGCAAACGCTGTCTGCTAATCACCTTATTCAAAAACACAGTGTTTCTCAGCATATAAAACATTAAATTGCAACAATGACTCACATTTGAGCTGCAAAGTTAGGCATGCATGTTTTCCAAATGTGCCAAGTAGGCAAAACACCAGCTAGCCTTGGAGTGTAGTCAGAAGAACATGCTTACACCACACGCTGAAGGAAACATGAAAGCTGAACTATTTTTTTGTGTGTGCCCTAATATTTTCTCATTTAATGTATGCTAAAATGAAAGAGTGTGTGAAAAAGCCTCAATGATTTATCCGTAGAGTGAATTTACCAACCATCTGAGAAGATGCTGGAAATCTGGAAGAGAACACAGCAAACCTTTGCTAACCTATATATTTCTTTTTCCTGTTTTAAAATGTAGACGATGCCTAAATAAATGACAAATTGAATCAGACAAGTATTAAAGTGAAACCATGGAAGATCTCCCATTTTATTGTGAAAGTCATCATAAGAGGAGATGCACAGAAATAGTTGGTGATCTGCACTGACTTAAACTTTGTGCAAGTGGTTTCCATGCAGATTAACAGTCAACACAAAGGTTGTGAGAACCCCTCTTCTCATCCACAGCATTAATCATTATCTGCAAAATTTTTGAGCTGGGCACATTAAAACTTTCCTTGCTGGATCTGTATTTTTGTTTGTGTAGGACAGCATTTACTGTATTCATTCAACTATATCACATCTGATAAACATACTTTTCCATCATTCCTTCTGGGCCCTCCTTAAAGAAACTACTGAATCAATGCCCAGACCTGTGAGCCATAAAGCACTGTGAGAAAGCTGGTGGGGAAAGGGCAGTAGGAAAAGAATTTACAGCAGCTGAAGCCTGTGGCAGATCAGTGACTGCATTACCGTGGTGTGACATAAACAGAAAAGGTATTTCCAGTCTTGGATTATATGGCAAAAGATGGGAGATTTGATTTATGAAGGGAGAATAAAAGGGTAATGCCTCCGGTTACATACAATTGCAAGGGCTTAAGTAATGAGCTCAGGTTAGAAATGCACATGAGGATCCGAACTTCCAAAGAGTTGCTTTAAAAAGAGCAGTTTGCACATTTGTTGCCATACAGTCTGCGATGGCCTGCAGAACAGCAATAGAGTCTGCCACTTCAGGCAGGTGTTAGCCAGTGGTGGATCTGCGCCCACCTGCCAGCTGCCTGTTTTGAGAGGATCTGCTCCTGTCAAACATGATGTGGTGGTGCTGCTGTTATTTATCTTGGCTTAACAAAGCCAGTTTGGGGTTTTCCTGCCTCTCCATTGCTCATCCTTGTCAGAGAATCTTCATTGGTTAGCCCAACTGATGTCTGTTAACCTGACTCAAATCCAGAGGCACCAGTGCAATCCACAGGTTTGGATAAAGAAGCCTTGCAAGGCTTCTTTACATACTGTGTACATACTTAACATACTGTGACCAGCACCATAGAAAAGATGTGGCAGGAGCCTTGTGAAGATAATATCCAGGCTTCTGGCTGCAAAAGGCTCACAGAGAAAGACCAAGGAAGAGGATGGTAGTCAAAACCTCAACTAAATTTCTGCATAAGGAGGCAGGAGCATGAAACAGGCCCATAGTAAGGTATGTAGGATCCATGCACAAAAACTCATTGGCCTGAGCCATTCAGTACTGTGAGGATCTTCACTGCTGGGATCTGGTCTGAAGCCTGCCTCTAGGCTTCAGGCTGTCAGACTCCACTTAAAAAATGTGTTTGATTCTCACTTTGTAGATGTAGCATCTGTCCCGCTCGTTCTACTGGGAGGAGAGAGGGAGTTGTGTAATTAAGTGCAAATAGGGTTCTCATGATGCAATACAGACTCATATAATACTTCCCAGGTGCCACTGTCTCAAACGACTTGGCAGGAGTTTCCCAATTGCGAGGCTCAGCTTAAGAATAGCAGCAAACTTGTGTGGTCCTGCAGAAGTGCTCCTTACGTGCGGTGCTCCGATACCGCGCTTGGGAACAGCTGTGCAAGTCCATGCGTATGGCTGGGATGGTGCTTGGAAGGGAAGTTTGGGTTTTTTCTTGTGCTTTCCTCTCCCCCTCTTCCCTTACAGCCAACTTTCACTGAAAAACCAAATTCTGTAAGTTTATTGCAGGGTGGTAGTGCTGTCAAGATGCTGCAAGCGGCTGGTTGGTGTGGTGTTCAAAAAACAGCCTAGGACTTAAAAAGACCAACAATAAAACAATTAAAAAAAAAAAAACATCCACCAAACAACAGTAGAAAAAAATCAATGCAACAACTTTATATAAGTAATCCTTACAGGAAGCAAAGTGTGCAGGAGTACAGTAAGTCGCATCCAAATACAGGATGGCGATTTAGGAGAGCTGACTGGTTTTCCAGTTGCAGACATGCAAGAAAATGGGGAGAGCACTGGCACCAGTGCTGTGAGATGAGGGATGTGGCTCCTGAGCCTGAGAGACTCTGCAAGGCCATGCTGTGATTTTCATCTCCCTCAGCACTGACATTCCCTCTCTACCGTGACCATGCTAGTTGGAATAGCCTTATTTTTCCTGCAAATTCTCTGCTGACAGATATTAGCTGCTTACCACAATCTTTGCCTTTTGGCTGGATCCCAGAAGCATTTAAACTTTTGGCAATGGAGATAGAGATAGGTGCTATTTTATTTATTTATTGTAATAAGTAAAAATATGAGCCAATATTTTTTCTCCAAAAGGAAGGTTCATCCCATCCTATCATGTTCTCACTGCTGCTGCTCCTGTCTCAGGCATGGCAGGTGGCACGATAAATGGATAATATGCTGCACAATCTGACATGGAGATATATCAATCAAAACAAGCCCTGCTTTTTTTGTTCAGCAGGAAAGTTCAATCGCTCTCCTCTGGTGGAATCAGTCAACACATAATGCTTTCAGCCCAAGATAATGTTAGACTGCAGATTTGGATCTGCTCTCTTGCTGCTTCAAGGCTATTTATATCTTTGTGCCTTGAGGGCTTACTAATTAGCAGCCTTCTTCCACACCCTTTGATATCATTAACGTAATCTCAGTGTAAGCGACTGCTCTCTGATGATATCTCTGGAGGAGTGGAGAACAGCTGGAACCATTCTATATAGCAGAGCTGGAACACTTCTCCCAGAGCAGCAGTTGAAAGACTGCAATAATTTTGCCCGTGCAAGCAAAGCCAGTAAAGCATCCTGCTTTACTCAGAATGGCTGTGGCCGATGGGCTATCACAGGATCATCAAGGTTGGAAAGGACTTTAAGATCATCTAGAAAGACTGTCATGCTATGGCAGATGTAATCTCAAATTGAGTCCAGAACTGGGAGGTACTGTGGAGGTTAGTGTGGGTTTTTCAGGCCATTGCCAACATTAACATTTAAGTGCCTTTTGATGCAATTATCATTCTTCTCTTGCCCTCCCTTACCTGCTTCTCTTATTGGTTCTTTTATAGTCAAAAGACCCATAGTGCGTTAGAGGCAAAGTAACAACAAAATCAGGAGGTGAAAATCAGGAATTTGAGACAGCAGCTGAGAGCTCAGCTGGAATTGTTCAGCATTTCCCACACTGTTCAACCCTGTGGGACCCAGATTCTCACTGAGGAGAGCTGAGGACAAACCTAACACTGCTGAAATCTCAGCTCAGGTAGTTTCTAATAATGCAGTGGATAAGGTTTATTTAAACCATAATTGCTTGCATTTTTTTCCATATTACTCGCTCTGCTGTTCCATAACATTAGTTAATTTAAAGGCCTGTCATTAACTTAGCAACTTGCCCTGCAAAGAACAAAACTGTAAATGGGAGAAAGTTTTTTCTGCGTTACAAATGTACTTCAGACCAGAGCAATACTGCTGCCTTCTGATAGCAGCTCCTCCTCAATAAATGAGCCCTTGTAGGAAAACATGTGGTTTCCAATAGCTGCTTTGATATCTGCCATTAATTCCCCACTCTTGCTTGCGTGGTCTCTTAGCAACTTCCTGCCCTTTGCTCCTTTTTATTCTTGTTCCTGTTCAAGCACTTCCTTTTGTTGCGAGTCTCTTGCTCCTCTTTAGACCGCTTTAGAGAAAGATAATAAAATCCTTGTGCAGATAGAAAGAACCAGCTACAAATGGCTGTGCGAGTGTATTTATGTTTATAGCACGAAGCAAGGGAACAGGCTGTCCTGGGTTCTGGTTTCCAACTGCAGTGTAAATCCGTCAGCAAATATGTTACAACCCTGGAGAAGGGAGCAGAAACATAACAGCAGGCACTGCAGGACTCCAGCAGTTGTGTCTTACAAGGCTCCATATCTCTTAACTCCCCAGAAGTGTGAAAGATGGAGGCTTTCACCCCAAGTTAAAAGAGCAGTCATCTTCTGCACTCTCATCCTAAAGCAGTTGTTAATACAATAATGTCAACCCTCCCAGTCACGCAGGTAGAAGCATCCATTTGGTGACTTCCCTTTGCCAAGCTTCATGCCCATTCTGTTTACTGCTCTACGACTCTGTCCCAGGATGACAATAAAATAGGGAGAACTGGCAGAGGTGGCTTTGAAGGCTGAGGGAAAAGATGTGGCAACATCTTAATTTTTTATTTCCTTTAAATGTTTTTTATGCAGAGCCATGCTAAGTACAAACCCGATGACAAGCTAAGAGCATCTTAGCAAGTCTGCCTCAGGAGTACATCCCTGTTCTGGTGGAAGGAGATGACAGCAACACGTGCAAGAAAGGCTGGCTGAACTGGAGCCTTAATGCAAGGTCTCCACATCTTAATAGACTTTGAGATAAATGGCCTTTTCTTGTCTCCCATATGGTTTTGCTTTCCATGTAACGAGGGAATCATAATTCTGGCTGAAGGAAAGGAGCTGTCCGGAGATAGAGCTGAGAGTGGAGGGAAGAGGAGGTGAAAGGAAAGGAAAATTTGAAGGGGAAGAGAGACTACGTCTGGAGAAGTCATTGTGCAGATGGAGAATAACAAGATGAGCCTGTTTGGATGCAGGAACTACCAGGCAGCCAATTAGAGGAGAGCCAGCAGTTCGGGTGCAGGGCAGTGACTCTGTCTGTGTCTCTGTAGTGCTTTGCTCAGGAGGGTTTGCATCAAACACCCTCACACTGAGGGGCAGAGAACAGTGGCTTTCCTGGTTCTCTTCTTACTCTACGCTTTTCTATTTTCTCTACTTTCTCCTAAAGTTCTGGTTTAGCCAAGAATTTAAATACTGGCTTTCTTAGAGAGAAGTACATAAATCCTGAAGTGCTCAGTGTGCGTTAGGCCAAATGCTTGCTTTAGCACTTTGCTGGTTTGGGCTCTCAGAAGAGCAGTTGAGAGGATAGAGGATCTTATTGCCACCAACAGCATTTCAAGTTTTGCTGAGGATGTCACTGGGACCATGACCTTGCTGATGCTCTTGAGAAGAGGTAGAAGCAAAGCACAAGTGGACCATGCTCCAAGGCTGTGCTTACACCACTAGCATTGTATTCATGGAGTAAGTTGGGAGCTCCAAACACCGTCTTTCACCCTAGCAATATTTTATGCTTTAACATATTATTTGTCGACGTTAAAAAGATATAAAACATATTAAAAGCCAAAGCTAATGCACTCAATGAGAGGGCAGATCCATGCTTCAAGAAGTCTTTAGTTTTATAAACCAATTTAGCCTGGGTCTATTAAGAGCTTTTCCTAGTGACAGAGTGAGAGCATTTTCTCTGCTATAATCATATCAGCCTGTATTCTGGGTTAATGGAGATGAATATTACTGCCAGATTTTGTTCTTTCCCTGCATGTAATCTAATGCCAGATGGTTCTGAAGGGGTATTAAATCTCCCATGTGCATGACCTCCCCGAGGTTTTTATCATTAGAACCTTAAAATAATTCAAGGAAAGCTTTCCCAAAGCCTGATCATAAACCTCCTAATGAGGCACTGAAGTCACAAAGAAAATCCTCTTGTTAATTCCTGTTTGGTGTTTTTCCCCCTTTATGACAAATAGGCAGGAATTCACAGCAACAGAGATGCTTTTAAACAGTTTCAGCGGAAAACACATAAAAATGAGCATTCAGGTTAACAGTTCAGGTTCCCAGCAGGGTCTGGAGCTGCAGGAACGGATCAGCCATCTCCAGCCTCCAACACAGGGCCCAGCAATGCCACCATCCCTCACTGTGAGTACAGCTCACTCAGTCAGCAAGTGGCTGCTTTATTCCTAGTGCAACATAACACCTGGTGTCAGGATGAATATGACTCTGTGTCAGATGAGCAGCTGAACTCAGACCTCATCTGTGCAATAGTACAAAGACGTACATAAGCACCACCTTTACCCTGACTTCGATTGAGCAACTGCAGTTGAGTTCCTAAGAACTTCCTTAGAGTTTTCCTAAGAGTTTTCTGCTCCTCATCTGCACGGACCAGATGGCACATTTTTAATGACTTTATGTTTGGTTTTCTATTTCATGTTTACTGCATGACACCATGCCTTATTTCCGAGATCAAGTAACAGCAAGACAGGACTGTTCAGAGCCTCATGGGCTTTCTGTACTTCTCATTAACGGGTCATCCAAAAACCAACTTAAGTATTCCTGCAGTCAAATCACATGTTGTGAGAATAGGAAGAGATGAAATATAATCAGATTAAAATAAAAAGTGTTTTCTAGTTTTAGGGTATCCAAACTGGCCAGAAATCTTATTTCTCAGAGACGTATATGTTATGCTTGTAAAACCCAAATCTTATTAATGCCTACTGGAGCTAGGAACACTCAGTGCCTTTGAAAAGCAACTCTTTTTTTTCAAAAATACTAAACGAGGCTTCAGGTAACTGAAGAAACTAAATGCAGTTCATCAGGATGCCATTCAGGTGCATGGGACCACCTTGCCTTGCCCTGAAGCTCACCTCCCAGATGCACCTCCATGCACATAGGCAGCATTTGGTCTCTACTTGGTCAGTACTTGACTTTCAAGGTCAGGCTGGATGGGGCTCCAAGCACCTGATAGGGTATTGCAGGGGAGTTGGACTAGATGAGCTTTAAGGGTCCCTTCTAATTCAAACAATTCTATGACTATCACTACGGATCAGCTCAGTGAGCAGTATATAGTTCCCTAGACCAGAGATGTTTTTGCACACATGTTATCACCTGCTCTAATCACATAGTACACGTGTGCAGACATATGAAATGTCTGCTGCCAGACACAGGTGACCTCTTGGAGGGTTAGAGCTGAACCATGAGCTCTGTACAGGTACTTAAGAAAGCACCATCTTGGTAGACAGAAGCTCAGTTCATTAAACATCTCAATGGGAGTCTATCCCAAGTTCCTCAACTTGACCCTTACCCAACCATGACTTCTCCAACCTAATTCCATCCTTACTTCATATTCATTGACCTCCAAGTGGATCTGAGGCCATCTTTCCCATTCCTTCCCTCTCACAGGTTCCTTATCAGCCTCATTAGCAGCACATGAGATACTCAGCAGCACTTCTGAGCCCTGTGCCTACTTTGAGCTCATTTTGTATGGCACCACCCATTCTTCGTTCTCCCTCTGCCTTGCTCACACATCTCCATTGAGGGCAACCTGATAGCAGCCTGCCAGATCCAAGGCATCATCCTACCTGGATTTGTAGGGATGACTCTTGGCAAAGGCTTTAGGGCCAAAACCTTCTCTGAGAGTGGAAAAGATCAGAGCAGGCAAGGCCAGCAGCAGAATGGCATCACTGCTCTGGGTCTCTCTCTACTCCAGTGGCAGCAGCACAGGAAAGGCAAAACTGGGTATGGAAGAAACGGATGACAACACACAGAGCTTCTCACCCTGCAGCCTGTGACATCCTACCCTGCGTGCAGTCTTTTACAGCCATGCACGAGTTGTTAGCTATCCCGTGCCAAAAATAGACAGATAAACAAATAAATAAATAGATAGTCAATTTCTGTCTGCTGCCCTTCAAATGAAGTGAGGAGCAGTGCTGCCACCAGCCCTGGCTGGGAGGGTCCTGCTGGGTTGGGAGGACTGGGGCTTGGGCAGGGCCAAGGGCTGCAATTCCCAGAGGACCGCGGGTATTTCTGGCACACAGTGGGGCCCAGCAGCTCTTGGACGAGGAATGATTTTACTAAAAAAGGAACTTGGAGAGCATTGTGGTCCCGCTCTGCCTACATCAGGAGGGACATGGAGGCAGATGCCTGGCTGCATCCCCCTGCACTGCACAGAGCCCGGCACTCAGCAGCTAACTTCTACATGGAAACTATTAGCAAATAATAACACTTCCCTTTATAGCTGCTTTCATTTTCTTTCTTTTTTCTTTTTCTTGTTTTGTTTGGTCTTTCTTTTTTTTTTTTCCCTCTTTAATACGTGGGTTTATTTTGTGTCACTGAGCAAGGACTGAGAAACTTTTAGATTGCAATAATCTGAATTCCGTAAATAACAAAGTGACAAAGGTCTGTGATGAAACACAGAGTGCACACAAAAATAAGTACTCAGTGTTCCTTAAGAGATCGTTGAGATAGCCATGACATAACTGAGTACCTGGTTGCATCCACTTAAATCAGCTAATATGTTCCCAGAGCAGATCCATCTACCTTAGGAAAAGCAGCAGCAGTAAAGCCCTTACCAGTAGGAGAAATTAATGCATTCCACTCTGACAGAAATAAATTATTATGAATCAGTCTAAAAATATGTTTGTCCCGTGTGGGAGTACACACTCTTCTATTCATCAAGTGGCTTTCAAATAATGATTAAACATCTTAAGACAGAAGACAATTTTGCTCACGCAAAATAAACACTGCTAAAAGTTATGCGACAAACTTTTTTCTTTTTTTTTTTTAATTTTAAAACATCTGCAGCATTCTGACCAAGAGTAGTTCCCCACAAGTGAGACAGACAGAATGTCTGCTGGGAAGGATGTGCAGAGGACTTTGATAACTGCAGTGTAATTTTTTTTTTTCTAAATAACTTCTACTGAATTAAATTTATATTTGGTAATAATCTTCTAGTCACACCTGCGGTCTCAGTGGCATCTCAAATGGAGACAGATCAGATTTAAAGGCTGAAAGTCACTTTTGTGACGTTTTGGGGAACAGTGCATGAGTAGGATGATGGGTTTTTTTGGTTTGGTGGGACAAGTTCTTGCAGGTATAAACTGATCTGTTAACGGAGGTGCTGGCTCTCCCGCACCACTAGTTTCTGGCACTTGATTTTCCAGGTGTCTCTGGGCAGTCCCTGCAGACTCATCCTGGTGGCAATGCTCTGGTAGAAGGTTCCTGGCTAAGGGAATGTGCAAGAACAAGAAGTTAGGCAAAATAAAAGGGCTTAACCATTAATAGTAATAATAATGAGATTATTAAACAAAGTTCACGTCTAAAGAAAATTTATCCTGTGAAACATTCCCAAAACTTTGCTCCACATTTACAGCTCAATGCATCTGGTGGAAGAGGAATGAGAAACCCCTTCCCATCTGCTCTGCAGAGCAGGTGCAGCACAGAGCAGGCAGATACTGCCCAGTACTTAACCAGCAGATCTGGTGGTGCTGCTGAGGCTGATTCCACAGATACCTTTATTTGGAAGAGTGAGAGACGGGCCTCTTAGCTGCAGCATTTCCAGCAGTCCTCCTTTTCTTCAGCAGCACAATCATAATTTAAGGCTTAGCACTCATCCAACCCAAGCAGCGCTGAGAGGCGGTGCTTCCACTGATGCTTTTTCCATTACAAAATAGCATTCTATCCAAACATACTTTATTTGACACCAATAAATCAGGGCAGCTCCTTCAATCAGATCTGAGGCTGAACGAGGCTAAAGTTGTTTGTTTGTTTTTTTTTTTTTTTTAATAAAAAAAAAAGCTTATAAAATTTGGTGAGTTTTCAAAGAAAACTTTTTCTGTTGTTGTTGAAGTGGCACAGCCCAGCACTCCCTGTTCCTGGCAGCAGCTCAGAAGGGCTCTGAGAAATGCATGTCTTGTGGCAGCTCTGACCCAAATGAAATCAAGAAACCTTGGCTATCTCACTTGAGATAGATTTTTGTGGGTTTTCCAGTTTAAACAGGTGGAGATAAGCTAAGATAAGTGTCTGAGAGAGATCTGCAACATATGGAAGGTTCATCTCTAACAGAAATGTCTCTATTTTTGTGGTCTTCTCCTTCTTTTGAGATATGCCTACAGACACTTGATTAACGGCGGAGAGAGTTATGTAAATTAATGACTGGTTAAAATAGGTATAGTAGAGAGGAGCTTTCATTCTCAGCTCCAGTGAATGCCTTCCAAAGGAGAGATTATTTTAATTGGCCAGCCAGTGCTTCAGGGTGGGTTTGAAATGACAGGAAGATCTTCAAAACCTCAGCTCTTCTGATGCTTTTCCCAGGGAACAAGGACAAAAGGAAACAACACACTTGTTCTGTTAGTTAGGTATTCTAAATGTGCTGCTTCAGATCAGATCAGAACTTTTCCTACCATGCTCGCTATGCCAAAAAGAGAAACAGACAGCTTTATTTGCAGAACTGCTTTCACAAGTTGTACCACAGTTTATTTTATGATTTCAATACCTTCTGTATTTCTTTTACTCCATTTCTTCATTACTAATTCAACATTACCAAGTGTTGCTAAGTAACATCCTATGATGTTAGATGCCATAAGTAGGCATCTATAATTTTCCTACATGACTGCACTATAACTGAACATTAATACTTTGCAAGGCAGTAACTACCAGCAATAGCCAATGTCTTACTTTAAGGGGTACCATGGTACATTCTCATTACAGCAGTATATGCCTCCAAATAGCACCCATCACCAGGGTAATTCAACATTCACCTCCTGGAGCTTGATGTCATAGAAGGTCCAACACCAGAGGAATGCACTTATCTGAGGAAAAGGCTGAAAAAGACATAGACCAAGACGTATTTTAGCTTACCTCCTGCCTGGAATGATTTGCTGGTGTCAACCAGCATGGACAGAGTGAAAATCCATGTTTCAGAAGACAGGCAATGATGGCACTGCGGTGATGTGAAGCAAGATGCTAGGACCTGGGTTCCAACTCACACTGAGTTCAGGAGTTTTCTGCCCGCATAAAATTTCAGAAGTCAGACATATAATTAATTACTGGGGAAAAACATCATTTTTCACCCTTTTCATTCCGTGGTGAAAGAAACTAAAGGCAAAAAGAAAAAACAAAACAAAACAAAACAAAAAAAAAAAAAAAAAAAACCCTCTAATAATTTCAAAATGTGTTTTCTCATCAATCTCCATTTGGTGTAACCAGGCTTGCAGGAAGTTCTAAAGCTGCGGTGGGACAGAGGAGGGCTTTGGGGACACTGGGCATTTCAGAAACATAGATTGTGCCAGGTGGTGTCTGCCTGTCTCAACCTTAATGATACTTCACAGTAAAACTTACTCTGAAGTGGAGACGGAATGCGTGCGTGAGAACCTGTGTTCATACATGCACACATCTAGGCTGTACACACGTGTGCTGCTGCATACATGTTCACACATGCACAACCATATCTAATTATACAAAATCTGAATTTCATGTGTAGTACTTCCCCCCTTTTCTTGGTTGAAGGTCTACCATTGACATGTTTCATGACGTAATTCTTGTTTATTCCTTCTCAAGGAACTGATTGCTTTGCCATGTTCAATGAAGTAATGAAACATTGAATAAATCTTTCTAGTGCATGATACTAAACCAATGTTTTATCTTATCCTCACCGTGTACTCTGGTTTCTTTAAATGCATCTTTGCAGCAACCAAACGAGCCATAAATTAGTCATGATGATATTACAGCTGAATTTAATTTAAAGTCTCTCAGCAAGTTGTTAAGGGTTTCTTGCCTAGGTCACTCCTAAGGAAATTTGAAAACTCTGGTATGATTTATGAATATTGCTATATTACTAGAGTATAAAGGGCTATGGGGAATACAAACACATAAACCTCTGTTTAATTCAGCTCCAATAAAAATTTCATTTCTTATAGCAAAATAAACATGTAAATCAATGTTTAATGATTCTGTTGTTTTATTATGTAACTTATTATTTGCCTTTAAACATCCAAGCCAAATAAAATCTGGGACCCTGCTCATTTCTGCTGAAACATAATTAGTTAACAATTAGATCTGCAGAGGTTGCTTCCTTCAGTGGAAATAATAACACAAAATAAGAGAAGACAACCCAAGAAAAAAAGGCCTGGCTTCTCCTTCCCCCCATGTATAAACACATTAACTCTGTTATTAGCCAATTCCTCAATGTAAGCATCTTTTTTCTTTTTCCCCTTGGAATTTACTTAGCTGTCTGGGGGATAATTACTTACCTAAAATTATCATACATTCAGAGGTGCTTTTACCTTGAGACTTCTGCAAGTTCTGTGGACATACAACTTCTTTTGCTCTTCTCATCACGCAGATTCTCCTTGTTTAGGGGAAATAGTCCCATTGGTATTAATCTCCTTCATGGGACAGCAACTGGCTGCAGATAACAACAGGAGGGAAAGGTTAACTTCTGGGTAAAGAACTTGAAGATTTAGTCATTTTTTGTCAGACTTCAGGAGATACCTAATGATAATTTCTTCTGAAAGAAGCCGAAGTCACAAAACAGCTCATCACACATTTAGACTCATTTTGATCACCTGTTGATGTTCTAGATCTCCTTTAAAGAAGTAAGGACTGTGGGACTTCCACAGGCAGTAACACGGGGATGTTTTTCATCACTTACCCATTGCCATCCATAAGCACAAGGATCTGCTGCCTTTTGCAGTACTGTGCCATCTCAGTGTCCCTTGCCCTGGTGAGTGTGTAACTTCCTAAGCCAGCATCTTTTCTAACTTACCATAGGGACACATGCTAGTTCTCTGAATTGTTACACACAGTCCTTGGTCACTGGGATACAATAATTCCCCAAGATAAACCAGGTTTTCTCTTGTCAGTGTTGCTTGATCTTAGATGAGCCACTTAATCTGTTTCTCTCCCTATTTCACTGCCTATTTAAGTTGGATAATATTGGCACGACTAACCTGCTGAAGAAGGTGACTGTCTGCACAAATAGCTGATGTAAGTTTAATATTTCTCAAGTACCAAACTGCTGAAAAATGCTGTCAGTCCAAAGTGTACACTGCTGTAATTACAGTATACAATGGAAATTGGGCAGCTAGGCAAATCTCCTTTTGCCAGCCTTTTTCTCTCCTACTCAACTTTGCATGTACATGTTCAATGGAAAAGAAATTTGAAAATTAAAGTGCCCTTGAAATTAGATCAGAAATTTTCAACCAATGGAGGATGTCTATTAAAACACATCTATCAACATCGACTTGGCTGTTTCTTCTAGCTGACTCTGATCCTGTTGCTTCATGTGCCAAAATCCTCTATTCATACTGGTAAAGAAAGAAGAGAACATTTAGAGGAAAGGATCATGGTAGGTCAGGGGTCACCCCATCTATTCTCAGAGGCTCTAACACCTTGCTTTGCAATCTGCTTGTCAGTGAATTCAGACATCATTATCCCATTCGGTTGGAAATTCCCAGCAAAATAGTGCTTGCCCCATATTTCTTCCATCCTGAGAATAACAATCTAATTTTCTGAGGTTAGTATTACGTGCCTCAGGTGAAAGCCTTGTACAAAACTTAATGCAATATATTCTGTTTCCTCTGCTGGAGGAGCAAGAAAGAAAAATTCAGAAGGGTTGAAGCTTTAGTGTGAACAAGACTGCACTCCCACTAAATGCACACTGTCTTGAATCCCTTCCCTCCCTCTCCTGGGTCTTCAGTTGTAGCTTTCTTCCATTTGGGAAATGCCTGGCACATTTTGGGCACCACCAGAAATGAAATCAACCTTTCTACCTTTCTGCCACAGCCAGTTCAAGGCATTTTGGAAAAATAACCTGCTTTCACTTTGGGCAGAAATGGAACAGGGGACAAAGAGGGACTTTTCATTTCTCCAGCGCCATGTTCCCATAGGAATTATTAGGATTTCTCATCCACCTAAATGATTCACAGTGGAGCCATACCACATTATGTCAGTCAAGTGTTTCATTGCCCACCAGGTTTGTACATCTTCAAGTAGAATAAAGCATAATTCAAAGAATAATTTGATTGCGTGCTATTTTGTTACAAAAATGAAAAAACTTGGGCTATTCTCCTCTGGTAAAATGGCCAAGACAAGAAAAAGCAAACAAAACAATAGCCTGGAGATAAAAAGCCCCAAAGTCCCAGAAAATGTCAACTCCAAGAAATGTGGTGGGTGTAAAAACCACAAATTAAGCTTTACATTCATATACAGCATCAACGTTTGTTTCAAACAATGCTCAATGGTGAGAGCTGGGAACCCTGTGAGTGCTGCCTCCCACTGCAGACATGCCTCCCATTCCTTGCTCTGCGTGTCCCACGGCTGCTCCTTCCCACAGATCCTTCCCATGGACAGCCCTGCGCAGCCACCATCTGTTCTGCACTGCGCCGGGAGCAGTTCTGCTTCCTCCTTGCAACACTCTTTCCAGTAGGATGGAAGTGGGGTTGCTCCAATAGCTGGGGTAATACCTCATGGCACTGTGCAGACAGGGACCAGAACAGGTCACTGGATATGGATCTACCTCTTACTCTGCATAAGTTTTTGGGGAGCTGTGGAATTCATGGACCTTCTGTGGATCTAACAGAGTATTGAAGGTGACTCATGACTTTAGCCTAGAGTACACAGCATTCATCCAGCACAAAAATCAAGACAGTAATTATTCCTGATTTCCCAGAATAAGTCAAGAGAGGAAGGAAAATTTCAGCTACATTACTAATACTTGCAAAATAGTATCATTGAATCATACAATGGCCTAGGTTGAAAAGGCTCATCTACTTTCAACCCCCTGCTGTGTGCAGGTCACCAACCAGCAGACCAGGCTGCCCAGAGCCACATCCAGCCTGGCCTTGAATGCCTCCAGGGATGGGGCATCCACAGCCTCCTTGGGCAACCTGTTCCAGTGTGTCACCAGCCTCTGTGTGAAGAACTTCCTCCTAATATCTAACCTAAACCCCCCTTACCTTGGTTTAAAATGATTCCACCTTGTCCTGTTACTATCTACCCTTGTGGATCTCTGGACTAAAAAATACATCACCAAATCTTTTTTTTCCCAGCAAAATCTCCAAAATTTGACCAGCATTGTTTTTTGTTTGCTGAGCAAATACTTACTGTCATACATAAGGAACAAATACACAAAATCTGTAGAGTACAAACATCCTCAGCTCTGCAAGACCTCAGTAACTGCTAACAATATTACAGAAGCTATAATGCACAGAGTGCTTCAGTGGAAAAAAGTACTTTTAAACAGCCTGTGATTTCTTATTACACACCACTGAAGTATCAGAAACTATTTTAAAAGAGTCTTTATAAATATAAACGTGTTTTAATGCAATTGCATAAGATCTCACTGAACCAGTGAGTGGAAAAGAATATTCTTGTATAAACCTACTTTTTCTCTGACCTATACAGTTTTTGGAAATTAATCTAGATGCTGTTACATCATGCAGAGAAGGGAAATACACAGTAGGACTTAAAATCTTCAATCAAACTCACTTGTGCTGTGGTATTTGTGAAAAATAAATGCTTGCCCACCTTCAAGACATTCCCGGAGAGTTTGCATGGTAGGTGTGCTCAAATTTTTCGAGCGTGAAGGAGCTCCTGAATAGCTGGCAAAGTGAGCTAATGTTGAACTAACATGAACTTCATGCAAATTTTTGAGATTACCAGAGCTGCTGGTTGAGGTGAACTTGTAGTGACAGGCTTGTCAGAGAGCTGCCTGTCTGGCAGGCTGCATGCTGCAGCTGGAGCTGCCTTGGCTTGATTCTGCTCTGAAGCTGGGACAAGCTTGTGCAGCCCAGCTATAAACACTGAGCTACGGAGGAGACAGAGCAACCCAATAGCACCAGAGCAACTGAATGTCAGGGCAATCGCAGAGCCAAGTCAAATCTTCAGAGAAGCTCGAAAGGGAAAGTTTATTGAGACCAAGATTGGGTCAAAGCCCATTTCAGGTGTGCTTAGGAAGCTGTGGACTTGGGAGAGATGACTTTCTGGGGTGCCTATAGCTGGAAAGGCATCTCTGCCTTGAGACAAGAAGAGCCATGGAGCTGCACATGCGGAGCTCATCTCCATCCACCACAGCAGTGAGACAAGACCTTCAGGGAGAAATGGCACCTTAAATAAAACCCAATATAAAAGTGAAACAAAAGTCCAAATGGGTAAGGGGGATAACACAGGGGGGAATGGCTTTAAACTAAAGGAAGGGAAATTTAAGTTAGATGTCAAGAGGAAATTCTGTGCTCACAGGGCAGTGAGGCAGCGGCACAGCTGCTCAGAGCTGTGGGTGCCCATCCCTGGAGGCGTTCAAGGCCATGGATGGGGCCCTGGGAAGCTCGAGGTGGTGGGGGCAGCCAGCCCACAGCACGGGGTTGGAGCTGGGTGGGCTTTGAGGTCCTTTCCAATCCAAGCCTTTCTATGATTCTATTCTCTATGGACAACCTTCACCAGCTGCTGCTGTTTTTCCCTTCCCAGCTCACTGTCGGAAAGACTTCGCTGATATTTCGCCAAATGACATAGAACAAATGGCTGACGAAGCAAACAGTAAGACCAGGCCAGAAAGAAAAGAGAAAACATCTAAAAGGTGGACAAATGAGTCTTCAGAGAATATGAGCGGCAGAGAATGCACTGATTTTGTGTCTGGTACATTTTGCTTCATTTCTAGTAATTCACACCCTGTAAGATTTCTAGAAACAAATAGATCAAACATTTACAAAAAAAAAAAAAAAGAAAGAAAGAAAGAAAAAAAAAAAAAACCAGCCCAAAAAAACGCAAGCTGACCACTTCAGCCAATGAAAAACTGGATCCAAGATGAGCAGGGAGAAAAACACAAGATTTCTAACTGTTCTGACAATCAAAACTGATTATCACTGTGCCAACAACTTAGAATTCTTCCACTTCTAATTTTAGGTGAAAGAAGTAAATAAACAGGATCATTTCTTCTATCCCTGAACTCTGCCAGTAGGATTCCTCCCACCTCTGCTGCTTTGCACTGGATGGTCTGCAGACCCCAAACATCACCTTTGGGTGAAGATCTGTGTTTCCTTTTTGGAGCTGACCAGTGTTTAACACACTGCTGGAGCTAACCAAGCCTCCAGTGACAAAGCCAACCAATGCTGTGAAGGCAGCAAACCTTCCAGTATCACCACTACGTACCCCAGTGAGTCGCTGCTGTCACCAGTGCTGTGGGCTTTAATGCACCCTCTGGGTGTGACACTGGAGAGAACTTTGGAGAAGATCTGAAACAGAAAACATAGTGGGAACAAGGTTGAAAAAGACAACAGGAAGTGATGAAAAAGAGAATTGAAAAAAAAAAAGTGTAAAATTTGTATATAAACAAAAATATACAAAGATAAAAATATGTACATATAAATAAAAAAATAAAAAATTATAGATAAATAAAAATATAAGTAAGGAAGGTGCTGGAACAGGCTGCCCTGAGAGGCTGTGGAAGCTCCATCCCTGGAGGTGTTCAAGACCAGGCTGGATGCAACCCTGGGCAGTCTGGTTTATTACCAGATCTGAAGTTTGGTGGCCCTGCCTGTGGTGGGGGTTTGGAACCTGATGATTCTTGGGTCCCTTCCAACTCAAGCCATTCTATGATTCTATGATGAATTGTAATAACAAAATAATGCTCATTCATAGCCTCATTACGAACAAGCAATAACTGCTTATGGGCAGATTCTTCCCAGGACCACTCTCCACATCTGTATTTTCCATTAAGATGGAGGAAGTGTCTCTGGAGCACATGCTGCTGGTGTCTCTTTCTACCCAGTGACCATGAAAATCAAAACGGCATCTGTTACACAAATATTGGGAAATAACTCTCTAGATAAGCTGTGCATGTATTTGCAAGTAAAATATGCAGCCATACCAGTCTGTGCACATAAAGCACACAATTTGTACGTGCAAATAGGAGCTCCAGACAGGTTAATGCTTTACAGGAGACCAAACTCTCAACCAGAAATGCAAATCCAGAGGAACTGTTACTACAGCCACACCAGCAAGTGACAACAGGACAATTACCCCCAGTAACCATATCTTCATCTCTGGTTGAGCCTCTCGCACGATCCTCCCGCACTTCCTTTATCCATGATTATAGCTCAGATAAGAACTCTCCTACCCTCACCATCCAATGTCTGTACAATCTTACAGGCATGGTTCAGACCGATTACACTTGGCTACTAGACAGAAAATTGCATTTGACTTCTGGTTTTCCATTTCTCCTCCGGTTTAATTTTCTCTTAAGCTTAAAAACATTTCCATTAAATAAATCATTTCCTTTTTCTGGGAGGCTGAACCAAAAGCCACTAAAATCTCTGACAGTCTTTTCATTAGGGTACCAGGGCTTTACGTTAGACTTTCAATTAGATGTAGTGAATGCAGAAGTATAAAGAAGTGAAAGATAAAGGAGGGGGAGGTAGGAAGTGGAAAAGTTCCACCAACGTTTACAAACCTCTAGGGTTTCATTTGGCTTTACGTTAAGTTGAGGTCAAAGGTCTGGGACAGCTTTTATTCTCCTCATTCCCCATTTGCTCTGATCTTCTTTCCCAGAGGGGGAATCCTGACAGATGAGCTGTGAAGAGGGAAGAATCAATCTGATAAAGCTGGACTCAGAGCTGAGTAATGGAGCAACTACTTTGCATTGCCCTGAGCTGGGAGCATGCGATGAGGTTGCTAGTGGGAAACAGTTCACTTGGGGACAGTATTTTACAAAGCCTCACTCAGGGAGATAGTTGTTTTGTCCTCCAGAAGCAGAGGGATCCTGGGTGACTCCACTGCTGCCCCACCAGCCTTGGGTTCATTTCTTGCTGAGAAGGCAGCAAGAAATGGATTTTGGTGGTCAAGTCAAAGAGATATGAGTGATATGAGTCTGTAAGAAGAGATTGTATCTTTAGGTTAACTTACTGTTTTTAATTTTCAGCTGATGTGCTGTGAAAATCAGAGCAGATTCTGGTGTGTCTTCTAGCTAAATTCAGAGTAAGTACAAATGGACAACAATTGCTGAATTTAACCAAAACAAGCTAATCTGTTAGATAATTTGAGGAAAGAAAACGTAACAGGAACCTGGTAGGAGAGAAGGATGTTTGCAAAAGGTGCTGATAAAACCTGTCGCCTGGGGGGCACATGAGAGAAACAGGGACCTTTCAGACCACTTTTAAACTATCAATACAATCTAATAGTCCATCTCCTGAGAAACCTCTAATATTTTGGGAGCTGATTCTTTTCAAACACCTGCGTTACATCATGATGGAAGCAATGCTGGCTCCATGGGACAGACAGCCCTGAACACCTGTGCCTTCAGCTCTTGTTCTCTCCATGAGTTTGCTTGCACAAGTCTGGTGAAGCCCTGCTTGGAGCAGAGGGACCAGATGCTGCTTACACACACATGCAAGTAGCTCCACTGTAACCAACCAGTAACATGAGATAATTTAAAAACAAGCCTTCCTTTGTCCCATACAAATAATATTTTCATTATTCATGTTCAAGAGGCTAAGCAGCAAAAACGAGGCTTTCTTCTTAATAAAAAGCTTATGCTTTTAAAGCAAACAACACCAAACAGGCTGCTGGAATTTTGCTCACTGTGAAGGGCACAGCAGAACTGATAGGGAGTGTTGCATGGTGATGCACCTTCAAATCTCTTTGGAATAATTAAAAACACCATTTAACACAACGCTTTCAATTTGTTCCCATTCCTACCTAGGATGGCTTTTCTCTAGGAGTGAGTCTGTTGGCTCTGCATTTTCCCACCTCGATGTGCCAAATCCCAGGAGATTTCCCTCTGCTGAGGTGCTGGGCTGCTCCATGCACCCACTCTGTAAGCAAACAGGTCATTGCAGCGAACCATAAGACACTTGAAGCTTTAGTTGCACAAACCAAGTGATGTCTTTTTGCATTAGGGATAATCAGGTAAAGAGGCCTCACCCCTTTGGCTGAGAATCACAGTTCTTAGGCATACTATAGACACAGCTGTTTAGGATATGCAGGAAAGACCCTGATATGTCCTTAACACAGTTCCTGAGTCTTTTTACCTTTAGAAATGTGCATGCTACCACTGCTATTGATTCCACTTGAGCTCTGATTTGTGAAAAAAAAAATATATATATCTTTTCCATTAAATAAGCACCTACCTGTACATATTCTCACAATTCTCCAGAAGCTTGGGGGAATTTCATGTAAATGGCTGCTGCTGAAACACAAGCACTATGTGCTGGTGCAGGAATTCAGAGTCAGCTTTCCGGGATTAGATGTCCCTGGCTAACCTCAGCTGTTAGGAATTACTTTGGAGCTTGGCCTTAGCAGGTGAGGGGGAACCACCAGGAGGAGAACAAAAGGGTTTCTCTGCCTTCTGCCCCTGCCTCCTCCCTTCCAGGCCTTGGGCAAATGTGGTTTTAATTCAGAAATACAAATGTCACCTCCAAAATCACTCTAGGGAGGAAGGAGAGCTAAAGAAAGTTCATTTGGATTGTAATTTATCAAGCTTTTTTTCTTAACATCTGCAGCGATGAGAAATGGGAAGCCGGAGCTGGGCTGCTGCACAATGGCAAAGCAAAGAACTTCTCTGCTATCCCAAACAGCCTCTAATTCTTGGTTTTCTTCAAGGACAGCCCTTTCCTAATGTAAATAAACTTGTCATCCTGTGCAACGTAGGGAAAACAGCTCTACCTTAAGTGCTGCTTTTGGAGCACTTTGAGCTACAGGTGGCACCGAAAGCCAATTGGCAGAGTAAAGCAGTAAAGAGCCAGGTTTTTTCCGATGTTATCCCCCACCTTGTGCTTTCAGAGCTCTCCAGGCTGGGAGCTATTTTTGTTTCCTGCAGGTTTGGACAGCCACAAAGCTGGGGCTGTGTACGTGCTGCAGCTCTGACAGCAGACGTGAATAATAGAAATGGGCTCTGAGCATAAGAAGCCACTCGGCGCGCTCGCTGTACTTTCCTAATGGATATGACATTGACATAATACACCCCGGGGTGTTTTGGATCAGATGGTGTTTTCCTGTTCCACGTGCTGCTTTTATGAACAGCCATCAGGTTGTGGAACACATGTCGCAGCGTGGGTGGCGGGCGGCCCTCCATCCCGTGTGCAGGGTGTGGAGATGTGGCATCACTCCACCTGAAGTCCTTCTGGCATTAGGGCAGAGGGGTTCTGATTCCATGGCAGGGCTCGTGGTAGATGCTGCTGAGATGCTGCTTCAGGCTGATGGGTACATGGGGCCATGCTAAATGACCACATCTAGGAACACAGAAGTGCAACCAAACACACCCCAGCAGGGCTGACCTGTGAGTTGACTTTGCTCCTCATCGCTATAAAATTATTTCCCAAGCACACAGGTTGGGTGGGAGCATCACAGTTCAGCAATAATCAGCCCAAACCCCTCATCTCCAGGCTGTGAGGCAGCATCCCCCTAGTCAGACATGGAGCTGCAGTGGTGAATCACCAGCAGGGAAAAACCCCTCCCCTTCCACATCCCTGCTGTTCGGAAGGAAACATCCATTTCTGCACAGGCAGGAAGGACTAATCCCTTTGTGATTTCCTCCTCTAAACCCTTCTCCCTGACACCCCATTCCAGCTTTCATCCTCCTATCTGGGCTATTTAGTCTAGAGCAAGGGAGGCAGAGAGGAGATGTGATAACAGTCCTCAGTTATGTAAAAGGCTTCTCCAAAGAGATAGGCAATAAATTGCTATCCATAGTGAAAGCACAGAAAGTAATGGGCTTAAATGCAGCAAGAGAGACTTAAAAAAAAACAATCTAGGAAAATCTTCCTTGTTGCAAGGACCATTGGAAATCACTTGGGAGGTTCGGGGGCTCACCGCTGCTGGCAGGGTTAGGGAAACACATCAAACAAACAAATGTCTTTTTGCATAGGGCCAGATGAAATTACCTCCTTGGGTATCTTCAAGCCCCGTTTGCTTCCATGCTGCGGTAATAACAGTCCCAGCCTTGTCCTTCACTGACCATGACAGAGCCAAGGAAACCCACGATGGAGGGAGGAGCGAATGCCCTACCATGGCAGGCATTGGGCTTCCTTTCCCTCATCGTCTCCTGATCCTCTCTGTGTTTTTCAGCATAGGATGGCACTGATGCACCTGGTTCAAGGAACTCCGAAGCCAGAAGATCTGGTGAAGACTCCAGACATCATGCAGCAAACACAGCTGCTGGGTTCTGCAGGACTCAGAAGATTCCTCTGCTCACTCCTAGATCATCTTGTTGTCTCTTTGATAGTCAGCAAAAGAAACTCAAGCATACTCAGAGGTGTGCAGTCACAAATGTGCACCTCTGAAGAAGTCACACTTCACCAGCCTCCCCTGAGGGGACATGGGGACATCACTGCAAGTGATACTGTTGAGCAGAGTTGCTTTGCTGAGTGTAAGATGACCAAACAACTTGGACTGAGATTGTATTTGCTGCTGGTGAAGCTTGGTCTTACACAGCTCTTCGAAGAAGCAGCATCTTCCGGGATGCTCCACTCCAAAAGGCACTTCTTGCCAAATCCTGCTAAAAACGGGGCTGATCATATGTTTACTTGAGGATATCCTTAAGTACTTTGCTGGATGAGGGCCTTATCCAGCTACATTTCAGATTCTTAGAGATCAGCAGGGATTGATTAAACTCTCTGCATTACCAGGGGGTGGACATCTGTGTGTGTCAAAATAAAGATATTCTCCTGAAGATATTTCTTTCCTGTGTTTCAGCTCCCTTCAGTTTCCAGTCAGAAAAGATGGTCAGAATCAGAAAATAGTCATTGTCTTCTGATCAGCAAAAAGATGCAAGTGAGCCTTAACAGGTGTAATTTATGTCATTACTGCTGATGAAGTTAGTAAGCTTTAGCAAGGAGACATGGATCAATAGTTATTTGAGAAGATGCAGCTGCAGATATCTAAATGAGCATGGAGCAGAGAGCGAGGTGTAAATGGTAATAGCAGAATATTTAAACCAGATGAGAGCTATAAGGTAGTGACCTTGAAAGAACCAGACAAGTAAAAAAAAAGTAAAGAAGGGCAACAATGATTTATATACTTGCTCTGCACAAATATTACAATGCTTATTGAATGGTATAGTAAATTATGAACAAAGTAGAGCTTTATTAGATTAATGACAAGGGAATTTATATAATAAGGTTTGTTCTTTTGAAAGTAGGTGAGAGAAATGAGTTTTTTATTAACTCCTGTGTTTCCAGGCTTGAACATTTCTCTTTCTGCCATGGAGTAATCTGACTTACACTTGGTCATTGCACATCCATTTCTAGATCCTTGTAACACTGATAGAGCTCAATGCACAAAGAGAAGTGCAACACCAGGAGGGGACCCATGGAGATACTAAGTGCTACAATCCAACAGCTCACCAGAGGCTTGTTTCTGCCACTGTGGAATCAGGAGAGTGTAGGGATTGCCCAAAGTCTCCCATTAACTCCCAAACCATTCTAATGATTACTGTAGTGATGTCCAGACCCATCTTGGTCTTGGATCATACTTATATCTAAAAAAGACAACAGAAGACAGCCTCCTCCCATAAACATTTACATCTAGCAAGGCAGGGCAAGTGTTGGTGGGAGATGTCACAGCATGATTGCACAAAACGATGGCTCAGCATCCCCAGATCTCACCTCTCCCTGTGATGCCAAGTCTTGAGAGAAGCTAAAGACATTTCTGTCTACAATAACATTTTTTTCTAACTGGCTGAAGAGATTTGATTAAGGAAAAATAAGAAGGAGAAGAAATAAAATCCACACTAGACAGTTTTTAATATATGTAGTCCTAATTAATCCCAGCTTGCTTATATGAGTGGAAAGGAGAAATCAGCCATCACAGTACTTGTGATTTCATATAGGAGTATATTTATAATCATACCAAGTCCTAGCAGTGACTTTCACAGCTTCTTAGACCACCATCAATCTAGGAAAGAGACAACCCTACAGGGAGGGGCTGGGGGCACAGTGTGCACCAGTTAATCAGGACACGATCAGCTACATTACTGGGACACTTCTGTCTGCTGATCACTGGGGTCTGTGATTGCCTTTTACAGCAGAAGGAGCAACTGGCTTCGCTCTCCTCCAGCCCTGAGTCTGCACTGAGTAAAATCAGTGGCCAAATTCTGGCTGCTGTCACCAGGATCAGGCCTGAGGAGCTGGCACCAAGTGGTTTGCTGCTCAGTATTCACTCTTTGCCTCGCATGGGTGACCCAAAAACCTGACCCGCAGCCCAGCGAGCCCCTTTTGGGTTTCACTGCACTCCAGATCAAGTCACAAGAGGACAATTAGAATGTATGAGCTCAAGTCAAAATGGATTATTGTGCACGTATTCTTGTCATTTTCACATGCTTCTTTTTGCTCCAAGTAAGAGCCGTTGCCCAGGTGTAATGCAGTCAAAGTAAGGTTTAGCTAAGAGAGGTTAATATTCATACCCAAAGGAGCTGCTTACAAGGGAAAAATAGGATAGCTAAGAAATAAAAAATATTCAACAGCATCACCACCTGCAGAGAGTTATTTTCACAGGTAGGATAGTGCAGACACAGCTGTTATGGAAACATGGATCTTCAGCTCCATTACGTTATTCTGTTTTTCCTTCCTTCTGAAGTGTGTTGAAAAAGTGGAATATGCTAATAAACCATTCTAATTCATCTCCCCTGAAATTTTGTGTGAGCAGACTAAGTCATTCTGCTTGAAATCCTTAATTCCTATTTTCAGTAGTATTGTCCTTAACTCTCTGCAGATTTCTAACGAATTTAAGAAAACTGAGGGTCTCCTGGAATTATGTGCTGTACTTTCCCACTGGTGACAGCTTGCATTTAGCTGATGGCTGCTTTCTGTTTCAAAAATTGTTATGGAAACCTAGCAGTCCATGACGGGGATTTGGACAAGGAGTGCTCTCCATAGTCCTCTCATATCCAGTCCTCAACTATTCCAGGCTCTAGGATCTAAAAACTGGAGTATTTCAACCCTCTTTTTCCTCTGACCTAAGCAGAGGATAAATATGCACTTATCAGTCCCCAGCAGCCACAGTCACTCCTGAAAGCCGCATCCCACAACGCATAACTGTGTGTCTGCAGGGAAGGCGGTCTCACGGGACTGGGGTTGGACAACTTGAATCCATCTGGGAACGGAACAAGCTGGGACAGGGCCCACCACTTCCGCTCAGCAGCGACACCGCCTGCAAACGCGCCCTTTTGCCATGAGAAAAGGCAAACAGGAGGCATGAGAAAAAGGAGGACAACTCCATTCACCCCACACTCCCTCCATTCCTCCTGTGTCTCCATGAGAAATGGGAAGCTTTGGCCCTGCGAACGGAGAGTCCCTCACACCTGCAAGGTCCACGGGCAGCCTCATTTCCTCTCTCCTCCACATCCTCCCACACAAATTGCTCTATCTATCTGTTAAACAGAAATAATGCAATGGGCTTTTTCAGTGGAATATTCCAAGATCATCTGTCCCTGTATCTATAAGCTGGGGACTGGTTTTTCTAAGGGATCTGCATTTTCTGAAGATTACAGGAAACTCTTTTAAAAGGAAATTTGTTATTCTTTGGGAAATTTTTGCCCTAACAATCTCATCTTCCTTAAAAGCAAGCCTCATCCAGATGGATTCATTGGGAGTTCAATATTTCTGATTTAAGTAATCATTAAAAGCCCATCAAGCATGCTTCACAGTTGTTTATAATAAATGATTTTAGCCTGATGGTGCAGAAAGTGTCATGATTGCAAAACACTGAAAAGTAGAGCTAACCATGAAATGGTAAAAAACACAGAATGCAAAAATAATAATAATAATAATAGGAATCCATTGTGATGAAATGCAATTTCCAATACCACCTTAACACAAAATAGTAAAAATGTCAAACTTACACCTGCCTGCGAAATACTTGTTTTTGATGAAATTGCTTCCTACAGAAATCCCCACAGAACTTTTTAATTGTACTTAGTCAGTGAAAAAAAAATAAAATAAAATAAAATAAAAAAATCAAAGAAGAAGATTTTCATTTCCTTTTCTACATGAAAAAATGCCAATTTCATGAGGGAAAGGTCAGCTGTTCAACAGAATGCTGGGGCACTTTAAAGAACTTGAAGTCTGCACCTGGACTTCCTCACATCCTCAATATTCCCCTCCTTCAGCACAGCTGGGAATCTCTGTTTAAAACTACGTTTCTTGTACTTTGTGCCTTCATTATGCTGCTGGTTGCATCACTTTTTCTTAAAATTTATTCCTCCTGTAATATTTGCTGGATTGCATACAATAAATACTGCCAAATGTCATAATCCCAGCTACACAGTTATAGATGTATTAAATATATACTCTGACAAGTCTAATAAATAGCCATCCATTCACATTACTAATAAGCCCAATTTCAGTCCAATGAATATTGCAATAAATTTGTTCTAACTGAGACATCTGTATAAATATCAGTAATAAGATAGATCAGAAAGGCTAAACATGCCAAGTAGATTTTATTTTTGTAAAGAGACTACAAAAACTACTTCTTCCCCTTTGTGGAAAAAAGAAAACCATCAAAACCAGTGAGGAATATAGGACAAGGAAAGGGGGAGGTTACTGAGCAAACTGCAGTTTATTTAGATGAGAAAAATGAAGTATGCAAAGCAAGACGTGTTTAACTAAGTGTCTACAGATGTTGCTCAATTTTTGTATGCACTGAAAGAGAAATCACTTTGTTTACTTGTCTGGTTCTTGTTCCTAATGCCATTACCAGTAGCTGAAAACATCTACTGAACACAGGTATTTTATTTTTTTCACCTGTGGTGGTGATGGGGTGGGTATTGCAACCAAGGATCGTCTGCCAAAACTGCTGGAAAATATTCCAAGCATTTGGCTGACTGTTCAGCAGCCTTATCAATACCTGCTGCATCAGCTTTTCTTCACCTGCCATCTACTATTACTATACATCACTATATACTTTGACAGACACCACAAGCACCTCACAGCCCCAGCAGGAAAGGCAGGGCTGTCTGTACTTCTCACACCCAAAATGCTGTTTACTCGCTGTAGGTTGCAATGCCAATACATGCCACAGTTCTGTGTTTATTCCAGTCTGCTTAGTTTAATACCACTGTCCCTGTTTGGACACCCCTGAGCTCTGGGATCAGGAGATAACATTACTGATTACTGATTTCCCCTCAATGTCAGACCTATAGAAGAAATACAAGAGCTCTACTGCTGCACAAGGCGTGTTCATAACCTTTTTCCACAGGGCCAAACTAATGGGTCACATAGTCAACTCTGGCTTCTAACTGCTCAGATCTTTTAAGGACTGTAGAGTCAAATTAAACAAGGAAAAATAAGGAATATTTCCCACATTCCTCTTCCCTCATCAATAGTGTGCACTGAAGGTACTAAAGGTCGTCTATAGGAACTGAAGCTACAGGCAGAGCACCGGTGATGTGAAAACAGCAACTTTCCAGAAGCCTATAGAACGTGGCAGTAGAATAAACCATATGTGCTTATGCAGAGAGCTTGGTTACCTTGTCTTCTGTTCCTTGGGGCAGTACTGTTTGGTGAGTTTGAAGTCTTCATCAGTTGTGTCGTTTGACAAAATCTTTCTGGAAGTTGACAAATCTATAGGAGAAGAGGCCAAAGATGTTTGCAATATTTGCCCCTTTCTTCCCTCTGCAGTCACCCACGCAACATTCCTCCATGAAGGACTGCAATTTTTGCTTTCATTTGAGAGCATCTGCATTTTTCTGAGAGTCTGGGTGTGGTGTGGTGCACTCAGAACTGAAGCATTGTAGGTTTCTCAACAAAGCATGGAACTGGCAGATTTTAAGCAGAGGGTCAACTGGGAAGGAAGAGCCTTTTTCTACTGATTGCTTCAGAGTAGCATCTTGTTAAATGTGGAGTATAGACACAGGAAAGCATGAGCTTCAATTAATAGGTCAGAGACTGTGTGCATCTAATTATAAACCCATCTGGCCATAGCCTAAGCATATTAATCTTAGTCCCAAAATACAAATCTGCCTGCAGAGATGCAAAGCAACAACAGTCCATGCAGTGACTTGCCACCCTCAGACTGTCCACGTTGTTCTCTCTGTTATCAGAGTTTATTTTTTGGACATTTGGACTCCAGAGGCTGCCTGCTGCAGAGCAGGAAAGCAGCACGGAGGATATGCTGATCTGTGACAAATCACTGCAAGGACAAGGGGAACCTTTCCAGAGATTTCACTGTCCGTCTGTCTCCACATGACGTGCTGCAAAGGTTAATTTGTTTTGAAATTCTCATTTTTTATTTGTGTTACTGATCAACTTAGCAATTATAAATGTTAATATATTCTTCAGTGGCCTTAACTTCAGATATTGAGACTGCTGCACTAAGTAAGGATTCCACAGCTTGCCTTGATTTATTAAGACTGGAGTTATTCTGAAAACTCACTGAGTTACAGCACTGAAAGAAGCATATTTTCAAGTTATATCCTTAATAATCTTTAAAGCAAGACAGACCCATTTATAACACTGTGGTTTAAATCAATGTAGTTAATTGTCATTTAAATCAGAACTAAGAAAACCCAATTCAGGTAACTTGGTCTGTATTGCATTTGTGCCTTCTAACAGGTACTCCTAAGAAAGAGTTACTCTGAAAGACTAAAAACGAATAGAAATGTTTAATTACAAAACAAAACAAAACAAAGATAGCTCTTTTGTAGTGATTAATTGCTTTTGTTCACTGAGTGAACACACACTGTAACTGTGTGTGCATCACCACATAACATCAGCATTCACTTTGTCCTGATTTTTACATCTGACAGGTGAAAAAAAAAGTATGTGACAGTTTTAGTCATTCAATTACCTTTTTAAAGTGTTCTGCGTCATGCTGCTCCTAAACAAAAACATGCAGAAGAGTCTAATCATTTAATTGTGTCCTGAATATTTTAGAAAATATTACCAAAACATTCAATGCACGTCAAGGTAGCTCTGATGTACCTAACATTAGAGATATGATTGGTAATTAATGACCTGAGCTATTTTTTTCCTTGCTTCCATGTTTTCTGAGGTCAGAATTTGTTGATCTCAGACTCCCACACACCTCTTAGTCATAGGATAGGAGAGGGTAAACTGATTTTCCTCTTGTTTCAACTCCCAGCTGTTTTCACAGCTTGGAAGATTCCAACTGATGGAAAGTGGATAAAAGAAAAAGATGCTCCTTTTGCACCTGCAAAAGAGGCTACAGCTGTCAAGAGCTGCTTATTACTCATGGAGCTCCTACTCCAGGTGTCTAGCTAGTCATTTCTCCAGTTTAGTCATTTGACATTCTTTACAAATTCAGCAGTGAACGTATACTCTCAACTGTTGTTTTTGTGCAAGATACATTAAGGTATCTTGCACAACGTAAAGAAAACAAGATTCTTTTTTCAAGGCATTTGCACTGAATTTAGGCTATCATCATTCCAGAACAAGTTTAATTCCATTTAAGTTTGATTTTAGGAAATTTATTAATTTAGAAATTAGAAGATGAAATTATGCACGTTGTGAAAATCCACAGAGCTCATCACAGAGCAACTGACAGATGGACAGAAACCTGAATGGATTCACATTGCTTTAGAGGGAAACTCAGCAGAAATACTCTGTGTTGCAACTGAGACTCTATACAAGCCTCAGGCTACCTGGAAATGACAGCTTAAATGTGCAGGGTGGACAAAAGTTATCAGTAAATATCTCAGTCCTGTATTTGGAGGGATGCAAGATAAGACAACAAGACCAATGAAATAATTTTAAAGCTGGGACAGTAGCTACAAGAGTGATGACTGCTGAAGTCATCACAATTGCAAGGCAATTGCATATTGCATAAGAGAATCATAGCAGAATTTAGCAAAGGAGGCTTGGCACAAGTGTAATTATTAATGTTTTAGAAAGCACAGGAAATTCCAGCAATCATTGAATCAACCTTTCTGAAAGATGTGCATTGGTCAAATACAAACCATTAAGTAAATGCATGGAAAAAGTAATGTCCTGGAAGAAATAAACTAGTGATACATACCACATCAGACTAAACAAGCTAGCTGTTCTTTCTTGGCCTTGTACTACCTTTTAAAATTGCTGGAAAGTAATCACAAACAAAAGCTTAAAAAAATACAGAAGAAAACACGGTTTGTTTTCCCTACCTCTTACATCTTCTACTATGCCCCAAATAAATGCACAGCAGCCTAGAGCCTGACATACCATCTTGCTTTAATCCCTTCCTGTTGACAGTGAAAAATGTTATACAAGTGTTCTACAAAAGATATACAATATCTGTTCATCAGGAAACCACCTCCCTGTGCAAAGATTCCTCATTGTACCATGCAGGCAGGGATGCCTGCAGAGATGCACTGTCAGGCACTGGGGCAGATACTTTATCTGGGAACAAAGAGGCATGCACTGAAAAAGCTAATGCTAGACCACAATGAATATGTGCATCTCACCCCAATCAGAACCAACATTCAGGTTGGCTCTCCTGACAGCTGCACTGTTAAGAAATCAGCTAAGAAGTAAAACTAACCAAGATACCTATGCCATCTGGATACTTGCCCTCCTGCATGGAGAGGGAATATGAATAGGAGAAAAACTAGCTGACAGCAGGAAAATTGAGAAGCAGTAAATCATGCAGAACTTGTCCAGGAATAACTAGATTCCTTTATTTGTTCCTGGATTGGATCCATTCTGCCCAGATAGGCTCCTCCTCAGCACAATACAGAGCTTTGCAAGTTGATGTAATGAAGTGATGGGTCACGCTGCTGCTATCGCATGTGGGATTTATGAGGAGACTTTATCAGCTGAAATCAGGGAATGAAGGAGGCAGAGACGTTTTGGTTCTGCTATGCAGACAAGTCTGCAAGACAGATTTAAATGGCTGGGATGAAATCAGTCTTACTAAGGTGTTCTGTGTAGATGTAGCTGCACTTACCCCAGATACACCACCGTTCATCAGGAAAGGATCTGACCAGTTAGACATTCATCTACGAAACAGGAACATCTGTTAGCAAAAGCAGGCACACCTCCTACAGGTAATGCAGCATATTTCCTCTCTTTCCTAAAAAAGAAAATGTTCAGTGCAGACACGAAAGCTGCCCTCCCTGTTGATCACCTCTTGTCTCTCCCTTTGGCATGTTATGTGCAATATTCATGCAGTAACAGATGCACACAGTGAGTAAAACACTCAGAGATGTTCGTCAAAGATTTCCTAAGGCTTTTCATGTCCTTGCTTTCCTGTGAGGTGCCCAAACATAAGTCATCTCTGTTGGCTTTTAGAGTAGATTAATTCAAAGCACAGCCTCAGAACCAATGGGGGGGGGGGGGGGGGGAGGGGAGAATGAAGGGTAATCAGTTAGCTGGGGTGTTGAGGTAGAGCGTTTTTCCTAAGAAGGACAACTAAAGGGTAGGAAAGGCATTTCTGAACTAGCACGTTTTCATCCAGGTAATACAGTTCCCTGTGGAGCTGTACCCCTAATGCAAGCTCATGGGCAATTCTTTTATTGGACATGATCTGAGAAGCTATTGGAGATGGAGAAAAGATAATCAAAACAGAAGAGTGATTTAGCACTTCTCAAAAGCACAGCAGGATATTAAATAAAAGACTCAGGCATCTGGGCCCTGAAACACACCGCACTTTCCTGATCCACAGAGATGGAACAAGGAAACCTCCCAGTAATGTCACTCCTGCTCATCCCTACCTATTGGAGATGGTACTAGGCAAGGTTTGCACCAAGAGGAGCCGTGAGCCACCAAGTGTCAGGGTTAGGGACATGGAAACTCTGCAGCACTCCTCAGGCGACCAGCAGTGTAATACAGAACAAAGGGCTTTGCTGGGCCAGCCATGCATGACTTTTGATATGCAGTGAAGTGGGAAATGAGCCATATCTGCAGCATCTCTCAGCTCTGATCTAAAGCTAGTCAACTAGTAATAGGAGTTTTCTTTAAAGAAAAGGACTCTGCCTTCAATTTTCACTTCACGAGTCCTCAGACCAAATTAATGCCCAAATTACATCACATAATATCAGGCCAAGTAGGTTTACAGGTTTTTGAGTTGGGTGACGGATTAAATTTCACCCACATGTCTTCAAGTCCCCAAAAGATTTAAGGATGCAACAAATTTCTCCTTGATCAATGGGAATATTCACATGAATCAAGTTAGGTGGGCACAATCAGGATCTGGCTCCAGATAAATAAAATGACATAAGTGGAATTATTTATCACAACTATTCTGTTTTCCTGGAAAGGAAAAAGGAAGGGAGGAAGGGTGAAAATGAAAGACAGGTTGAATCATAGTAATTGGATTGATAGCACCACAGAAAACAGGCTAATCCTTGTAATCAAGGGGCACCATCAGAAAAGGACTAAATCAAACATGTTGTTATTCATCTTGTACAGCTATTAATACAATCCACTGCAATGGTTATTCGATATATATGCTGTCTGTGTGAATTACTGCATATTTCATTCTCCTTTGAAAACTGAGAGAGCTGAAATAGAGTAGCATTTCTTTTTATCTGACAGAGCTTTAATCTTTTGCTCATCATGGTTTTACCTGAACCCTGGTTTAAAAAAATATATATATAAAAATACATGCATGAGTTTTTTGCAAGATAAGCAATTCCCAGATTAGAACTCTGTGGTCATCATTCTTAGTCATGATACATCTGCCACTCCTTATAAATAATAGCTATATGAGGATCTGTTTTTTCTCAAAATAAGAGTCAGTGAAAATCCACCACATTGAGCAACATTCAGTAGGGTTCGTACTGTAGCCAAAGAAGGCACATTGGACCCTGCAGGAAGTAAGATAATTACTTGCAGTAGTCAGGAAAGACCTCCTGTTCTACTTACGGGAATAAACTTAACTTGTGCATCCTCTCAGCAAAACACAAGGATCCAGCCTGGCACTCCTGAGATAGAGCAAAATATCCCTGAGAAAAATAAACCAGACTTCTCCACATCCTTAGAATATACCTGGTCTCACACTACACCCCTTCATCATTTGACTCACACTGAGGATGGTGACACAAAATCTTGGCTCTGTTTGTCAGAGAGGATTCAACTGAAAGTTAGACTGGAAGAGAGCATCTGCAAACACAGACCTTGAAAGATAATCACCCACCTTATTCAATGTGCCATCATCTATAGGATGTAGGTATAAGGTGTGCATCTACCATAGCTGAAAAAACCTTGCTCCTTTGATATTAGCTCCTGAATGGACTTTGTTGTATGTTTGAGGCTGGCTTCAGGCTGAGGAAGACAAGAGAGACCATGAGAAGTCATCAGGAAGGTCCAGCATGACCCACAATGGAGGTTGCAGAATCAGTCAGCAGGTCACATTTCTCTTATTTCCTATGGGAGGATTCAAATGAAGATCTAATAATGACCTTAAAAACTGGAAACAGAAACAGGAGACAGTGCTGCTGTGCTACCTCAAACTGTCCTCTGAGGCAAGAAACTGAAAAATCCCATCAAGGAAACATCTCCATAAAACAAAAATAAAGCGTAAACAGAAAAATAAAACCAGACGCCCATGTGTACCCAAAGGAACTATTAAAAGCAAAATGTTTGTCGGTATAGGATGCTCCACCACACACATCTGGTGCTCTCAGCAATACAGAACATTTCTTTAATTGCTACACCTGAGACCAAGAGCAAGAAATAGATCTAGGGGCCGATCTCAATGCATTTTGAGACATGTGGAGATGAGTAGTGGCATGAGAATTCCATCGTCAATAACCAAGCAGTTCTATATTACTGAGTTAAACAGATACTTTCAGGATACAGCTGTGTGTCTATAATTCGGTACCTGTTTTTCAGTTCCTCCTGATGAAAGACTATAGGGATAACAGCAATAAGCCTCTTATTTGGTATATATAGCTCAATACTTTTTACGCTATCCAAGATGTCAGTACAGCAATGTCAAGTGGAAAAGGCAACTGCGGAGACTCCAGGCTGCTGCTTCCTCTCATGGGGTTGTTGCATATCATTGAACTTTTCTGTTCCCGATTTATGTACTCAGATTGTAAGCTCTGGCTACACCTACACCTTGCGGGAAGGATCCTCACTCGCTCCTGAGCCCTTAAAATGTGCCGCAGTTTAGCGGTACCCATTCAAATTCATGACTTCTGTGAATGGGGCTTCAGTGCAACAAACACACGGTGAAGATATTGCACCCATTGAGACAAAAGGATCCAAACGCAGACAAAAAGCAACAAAGGAGATAACTACCACTCATCTCATGCATTGTCTGATATTTCTAAAGAGGAAAATGAGCTCCTGCTTCTCTTGTTCAGCATGGTTGAGTGTGAGTCTATACAAAGGGAACTTCAGACATCTCTTGACCCGAGATTGCCTCGGATTATTTGCATCCTTTTCAAAGTTGGAAGTTTATGTGTTGTATTATGGCACATTTGAGGTCTGGAAAAGATACCATGTTCCCAAGCCTCATAGTTCAGGTTGGTGCCAAGATATACGCTCAAAGCCATGCATGTCCTTGTAGTTTATGCATTCTAAGTTGTTGCATTGCCTCCTACACTAAGTGCATGATCAAGAGGTATCCTTAAAACACTCACTACCTTCGAGCAAACTTGAGGCAGCTCAGATAGCTTTTCCCACCTGCTTTACCCTACTGTGACACAATTTATTAAAAAGAAGACCCCTTGATCTAAAAAGATTGGACATTTTAATTTTTTTTTCTTAAATGATGGAAAATTTTCCCAGATATGATGGCCCATCACTGTGATTAATCACAGCGCAGCCAGAGCAGAGGACTGAGCGGTGCGTTCAGCAATCAAAGCCATCAGTCCTGCCTCTGGGGATCAGATTGCAATTTCTGGCAAGTGGGGGAATCAGATTCCTGATTTCGTCTTCTGCAGAGAACAAGTAGAATAGGAGATCAACAGCTCCTTTGGTGAGCACCAGTGGCTCATTCCAGCTGCATCTGTGGGATGTCTGTCCCTGTGGAATGATGCTCCACAGACCTCAGCACGTTGGCATTGGCAACGTCAAAGAAATGGTACTTTAAAATTGTCGAATCAGGGCGAGCATGAGACTTGCTGAGCATTCTCTTTGATGTTTCGGGGAACTGAATGCATTTTGAATGTCTGACGGGATTTGCAAGGGATATTGTGCTTTTCATTTTGTTTTGAACAAAGCTTGAATTTTCCACCCTGAAAATAACATCGAGTATCTTGATATGTGCTCTTGTGCTGACTCAGAAGGAAAAAAAAGAACCATGCAAACAAACACACAAAAAAAACCCACCAACAAAATCAATACCAGAGCCGGAAAAATAAAAACAAAAATAACAACAACAAAAAGATCCCCCTCCCCAACACAGAAAAATAAAAATAAAAAATAAAGAAAATCACCATAAGCAATAAAAAAAGCAACCATAAAAGAAACAAACAAAAAAAAAACCCCAAACCTGAAACCCCAGCTGGATTGGTCCCCATTAATTTCTTGTAATATAGTCATTACAAAGTATTATATTTTCAAGTTATGTTTTATGTATCAGTTATGTTTTTGTTTATCCTAAATATGGAACGTAGACATGCTTTACCATTAAAAACAAAATTAATAAAGTCTGTATATAATGCTGATGTTACCAAACAATATCAGAATGAAACATTTCACTTTTCCCCACCATCTAGATTCAGAACACTTCTAGACTTTATTTCCTTTCCTCTCTAATGTAAGCTTCCCCTATTCAGAGTTTTGCAACAAGTTCAGTGACACAGTAATTGTTTCTATCCTGTTTAGAAATACACCAAAATAGGATAAAGTTCAATTTCTGGCTGTAAATACCTCTCCATAATTATTGTTGTGTAACTGCCTATCCTAAAGAATGATGTTAAAATCATTTTGGGCATTTATTTCAGTTTTATTTAAAATAGATTTCTTGAAGCTGAACAACCTTTGGATTTGTTTTTGGCTTTCTCCTCATTAGTGTTTCCCTTGTAATGATGCCATAATGATTCACTATTTGATGTTCTCCAGTTTCAAACTTATTTATTGTAATTGCCCAATTTCTTCTGAGAATGACAGATAAGGAAATATTTCAAGAGGTTTGTAAATAACTGCCAAGGACCACAAGACTGCAGTTATTCTTGATTTATATCTGGTCTGTTTTGCTGTGCTAGCTGAAATAATGTGTTTATATAATTTTTCAGTGCAGTTTGTGTTATTCATCACTCAGCAAACAGTATGAACTATGCATCTTGTCTAAAATTTCAAGGTATTTTTCAGGTTGTCATTACTATGATGTATTGTATTCTTCTAGAAAACCACCATAGGGTAATAAAGTGACTTTAAAACAAAAGAACAGTCCTTAATACAACTTCAGGAAGTCTTACCATGAGAAGAAAAGGATCCCAAGTCCTGCAAGTTGCATGGTTGCTTGGCTTCCCAGTGCAAAAAGAGGCAGAATTCAATCTTATCTAGAATTCAGCTTTGTAAGAGTTTCTGTCTTATAAAACATATAAATATGCATATTTTGTTTTATTTTTATGATCTGTATTTATGTATTTACTTTTAATGCATATATACGTTACTGCAACCCTCACAAATGCTTAAGGAGAAAATACCTATCCTGAAAGCATGACCTTGCAATATTTTTCTATTCTGCCTAAGAAGGAAATTGGCTTGCTAATAAATGCAGCTTCCAGCTCCATGCTGCTAACATGATTGATGTTGCAGGAGGTGGTGCTTATGATAATAAGGAAGTTAATGAGAAAAGCCAGGATGGTTCATGTTTCATAATCAACAGAATAAAACCCAGCATTTCTTAATGGGGAAAAGATAAACACTGGAAAAGAAAGAAAGGTTGCAGTCCAAAAAAACCCCAAAAACCTAAAAAAAGGAGAATGAAAGTACTGTAGCTAGAAATATCAATGAATAGTGCTGTATGTCAAAGCAGTGACGCTTTGTTTACATGGTTTATATTAATATTGTTAGTTACTTCCTGAACCAAGACTGGGGGGTCTGATGAAGAAAGGATATTTAAAAATAGAGTGAAGGGACAAAAAAAAAAGAATGTTCAGGAGTCCAGAATAAATACTGTTGAATTTGGGTGGTGCTCTGCAGATCTCTAATTTGCTCATAGAACTAAAACTGGACATCATACAAAGGGAATTACAGGCCAAAAGCAGCCACCAACAAAAAACACAACACCAACATAAAACACTACTAAAATTTTTGTCATAGGAGCTTGGTAAATCTGGAAGAAATATCATAGAAATGATACAATTGGGAAATGAAAATTCTGCCCAGCCTGCCTTTCTGTATCTACAGAGCTTTGCTTTGCAGCAATCAACACACAAAGACAAGACACAGGCAGGTAAGGCTCTTCTCTTCCACTACCTTTGTGCACAGCTTTGCAGAGCTGAAAAGAAGTGGTGTACAACTTTTCCAACAGAACTCAATGGGAAATTATGTCTCTAGGGTAGTGTCATTCACTCCTCTTTCTCCTGTAGGCAGAGGTATATCACACCTCTTGACAGGACAAGAGGTAATGGCCTTAAGTTGTGCTAGGGAAGTTCAGATTGGATATTAGGAAGCATTTCTTCTCCAAAAGAGGAGTGAGGTATTGGAAGGGGCTGCCCAGGGGAGCGATGGGGTCAGTGATGGGGTCACCATTCCTGGAGGTCTTCAAGAAAAGGGTGGATGTCGCACTGAATTACATGGTTAGAGCAGTATCAGGCATGGGCTGATGGCTGGACGAGATGATCTTATTGGTCTTTCCAGCCTCTATGGTTCCACGATTCTATATGCATTCTTTAGCTGGAGCTATGACTAAAATCCACCTTACCATCATAGCAACAGATTTTGTTATGATACACATGACTGTGCGCTATATATGAACCTCCCTTTGACAAAATCTGATTGTCAGACAGTTGACATTCTTCTTTGTGAGAGAACCTCTGGTTTGGCAGAAGTTCTGTGAAAGATAAAGAACCGCATCCAGAAATAATTCTAATATGGAAAAAAAAAAAAGAAAAAAAAAAAAAGAGGATGGGTGAGGAAGTTGAAAGATATGGATTAGGTGATACTAAAGTGTGCTAGTATAAGTAGGGAGGAGAATAAAGGGAAGGGTTTGTAATTGTAGATAGGCCTTGAATTGTCCTAAGATAATCCTAGAGGCTGACCTCAGTGCATCCTGAGACATGCAAACAGCAGCAGCAGATGCAGGTTTGGACAGCAGAGCATCAGGATCTGGCTTTGTTCAGTAATACTTTTCATCACCCTCCTTGAGAAGAGCATAGAACGAGACTCAAATAACATCAAGAGTTTCTGCTCACTGTCCAGTGTTTTGATCCACAAGCATCTTGCAAATAGTTCTAGCTTCAATTCCAAGGTGCTGAGTGAAGATACCAGCACACGGTCCCCAAAGGAGGACCGTTGTACTGTCGTGCTCTTCCACAGCCTTCAGGGATCTCTAAAGGACGCAGAGTCCCTGAGAAAAAGGAACAAAGCCTTTTCCACTTAAAAAAAAATCTGTTAAATGAAAGGAAGCGGGGCAGGTGGCTCACTTCCTGAGGGCTGATTGCAGGGTGAGCCCAGGCGCTGATTCACAGCCAGCTTGGAGCCATTGTCCCTGTCCACCCGCGCACAGGAAGGAGCCTGGTCCTGGCCAGCCACCGCCCCACACACCACAATGCCCTGGGCACCCAAACCCTCCGTGGGACTTGAAAATACAGTCACAGAGCAAGGCAGCTTCCCCCAGTTTCCTTTGCTGAAGATTGCACGCTGCTTGAGGAAAGCATAGTGCTGCCATGTTAAATGGGATCCAGTATTCCCAGGAAACAGAAAAACAATAGCATGTGCACGTAATGCACGTTGGAGAATTCATTGATATTTCCCCCTTCCTTGGTTCTGGTCAAAAGAGCAAGCATCAGACCCGGTGACAAAGCAGTTCTTATCTCTGCTGCTCCGTTTAAGGATGTGCTCAGCTAGCAGCCACACCACAGACACTCTGTGGACATCTCTCACTAAAAATAGGAGCAGGAAAACACTGATTTACAAGTAAGCCCCTCCTCCCAATTTAAAATATATTTTATAGCCTCATAGGTGCTCCTTTAGGAGAGCCTTCTCTTTCCATCAGCATTATTCTTAATGGTAGGGGCTAATGAATGAAAGAGGACAGCATGGGCTACTCAGCCTGCATCTCCTCCCAGCCTGGCTTGCTTGTCTGCTCCATGCTACCCAACCAATGCAACCAGGCTGTTGCCCTGCACGAGGCCAAGGAACAGTCTGCACTGCCATAAATCCAGGCCTTCCCAGCAAGATCAAGGACGAGGAGGGCTGTGGGAGGCCTTGGAGGAGGCAAGGGAAGCTGTAACAAATGTGTGAAAATTAAGTGGATGCGTGTTTACATTGATATATCCACACATGTGGGCAAGGCCAGCCGTACACCCACTCAGCCCTGCTTGGGTCCCACCAGATGTGAGCTGCTTACAGCTGGGAAGTGCCTTTTGTTTTAATTTTTCCTTTCATTATGGAGTCTCAGTTAAGCTGCCTCAGCACATCAAACCCGGCTGCAGAGCTCCAGCCTGGACTGCCTTGTATCCAGATGGAGATGATAAAGCAAACGTTTGCACCTGCTCATGTGGATGGAATTCCAGAGGTTTTGCTGACCATACCAAAGCAAAGCCTCACTCCAACACAGAGTGAATGAAAAATAAGAAGGAAAAAAACTCTGTGACCACTTTAAACTTGTAGTTTATGAGTTGATGTTGAGAATACAAAAAGAGGCATTCATTTTCACTGTTGATATTTTTCGTAATATTTCTGAGAAAAATGTCTAAACTGATGACAGTGCAATCTACTTTGTTAGTAATGACCTTGCATCTACTATTATCTTTACATAAAAAAGTTGGGGAAAGGTTCAGATTTGATATTCTTCAAAATTGAATACATCACGTGTGCAGCTATTTGCTAAAACGGACCCAATTTTTAATCAGCTTTTTCCCTCTCTTTGGAGGATTAAGAATGCCTCATGCAAGAGTTATAGTCTTGTTATCAACATCTTATTAGAAAAAAAGTGTTATTTTTTTTGTCAGTTTGTTGCTTAAATAGCGAGTAGTCACAGTGTAAAAGAACAAAAATGGAAAAGGACATTCAGAAAAAGAAGAATGCCCTTACCTGCAGATCACCTCCTGCACACCCACCTGATAAGTGGTCAAATGAAACATGGCCTCATTACTCCTTGGGAGAAGATTTTCATGTCGGCTTCCCAGCTTCATTATGAATGACCATTCCCCCCATGCTTTTCTATGGACTATCACACAGTTACTGCCCAGTAGGACAAAGTTGGCCCAAAGGGACAGAGCTGATGGCTCAAGGGGGCTGTGGCAGCTGAGGGAGGGGTGGTATGGAATCAGCTCACCTGCTGGATCCACCCAGGGACAATAACTGCAGAGCTCACAGAATGCAATCAAGTGCATTCTTCCCTTGGGTGATTAAAGAAATATCCAATTTGATGCAACCGAGCTACAAAAGCTCTCTGTATCCTTCTTCTGCCAAGCGCAGAAGAATGCTTTGCTTTAAGCAATCTACAAAAAGTGCAGTATGCCAAAGACATATCACTTACATGGAATCCAGGTAGCTTCATGCAATCACTGATTATGCATAATTATGCCAAAAGTAAGGGGGGAAAAAAATCTAAATGAAGTCAGTCAGCTTAGCAGTAGTCAAGGTTTGCTGTACTTCTCCCAAGGGAAACCTGTGGAGGTTCACCAGGAACCCCTCTTTTCTACTAATGCAATGAATCTAAAATTAACAATGAAAAATACTTCTTCATGCTGGTTTTGTAACTACACCGAGTTCAAAATCTGAAAACAAGATAAAATTGATATAAAGCCTCTTTCAATTATACAAGACAAGATATAAGTGACAAGTGAAAAATCTAAGCAAGTCGCGAGAATTTTCCCTATTTCTTTCAGGTTTCTGTCTCCCACAGTCTCTAGCAATGGCATAAATCACATCTCTGTTTCTTCAAGGTGTGATTAAATGTGCGACGTTGTTTTCTCCAGTTGGACATCACTTAACAGCAGTTGTGCCTTAATATATTCAGAATCAATTACCTTTCACGCATCATGCTGTCTCAACTTTTAGCAGTTGTTTGTGGTGCTAAGTTCTCCTGGATAATTAGAGGATCTGCATCTCCATCATTATAAAAGATTACTTTTGGTAGGGTTTGCGCAGGGCTACCAACAATGCTACAGTCACAGGAATCTTAATAAGAGCCAGCTTGTTTCTCACACTAACACTCCAAATCTTTAATAACTTTAGCCCACAGTATTCATAGAAGACAATTAAACACCTTTATCAACATTTGCTATCAGCAAGAAGGTAAAGCTCAGAGGCGACGTGGTTAGATGCTCACAGACTAAGCACCCTGTGTACCTGCATCTCTAAAGCACAGACACATTGGGGAGAAGCCACAAGTGTACCGATGGTGGAGGAAGA